GTGCAGTTGAAACACCTCGATCTCTCATAGGGGCTTAATCTAGCAGGTGAGACGCAGTAACGAAGGGAGCTGAAACAAGAAAGCAACTTGGAAAAAGCATTTTGAAACTAGACTTAACAGATGAACCTGGCACATACAGACTTCTCTGCTTTGGCACAGGTTCCTCTTCAGAGATCACACAGCTGTTTTGGAAATGACAGCAGCTCTCATGCAGCTCCGACAGCCCAGTCCTCGTGTGCTACATGAAATCACCGCCATGGCTTCCACACGGAGGCCTGGTTTATTTTCCCACCTTGCTCTTCACTCCCATCCTGGTGCCTGGGAGCAGACTCTGCAGTGCAAAATGAGGTCAGGCTCCCTATGCAGATTCAACGACAGAATCAGCTCTTCTGCTGTCACACAATTTCTCTGTTCTTCAGATGTATTAAAGCAGAAGAGTAACAAGAGTTTCTCAGCTTAGAAGCCATTAGGTTTAACTGATTCAAACCATACAAGGAATGTTACAAGTGGCAACAGACGCTATGCATTATTTAACTGTACCTGGGTAACTGAATAATGCCCGGTAGTTGTTTTATGTACCTAATTACTTTAGAGGACAAGAGTTACTTTCATTGCCCCATTCTACAGAGTTGCAGTAGAAAGCATCAAGCAGGTTAAGGAATACTTAATGTATTATATTAATGTAATATATAATGTATTAAGGAATACTTAATACACAGTGATACTTATCCAAGGAAAGAAACCTCTCTTCCACAAAAGCACCTGGCAAGGGGAGGAGGGGAAGAGAAGACTAAGCTGAGCACGTCAGCTACTGACCGATGCCTCCAATCTGACCAAGTCTGAGGCTTCCCAAACCACCTCGTTCACTATTTCTGGGAACCAGAGAGCTGAAGAATGAGCCACAGAAACATCGAGAGACAGTTAAAAGTTATCTGCGTAAGCAGGTATGTGCAGCCACATACAAAGAGGAAAACTGTCCTTTTCTCAGTTCTTGACAAACACAAGTGATGCTCTAATGAACACACAGAACTGCTGCACAGATCATTTCCAGCCTTGCCACTCTGACCGCACCACTTTTCTCTCCACTCCCTCTATTGCCCTTCTTTAATCACGTCACATCACATACTTGCAACCTGCCCTCACTTTCAAGCCCATCATGCCCTGCTTGTCCTAAATCTCACTCAAAATTCAGAGAGAGCATTTCTCTCCTGCTGATCAGCATGGCTCCATCAACTTCCACTATTATTTTAAACATGCACTTTTTCATTTGTCCCTTTAGCTTTGGAACAGGCTCTCCCAAAACATCCACAAAGCCATTTCATTTTTCCTGGGGTTTTCTTTTTCCTTGGTTCTGAAGAAAGTGCAAACTGTTGGTGGAAAGTAGGCTGAAAGGGGTCACTATTGTGACTTCCCCAGTCTCTTTTCTAGTTACACAGCTCTCTGGGACAGAGATTATGTTTCTATTTCTGCTTATAAAGGGCAAATGTACCAGGTCTCTGACCCACAGGAGCTGTGAGCCATTGGAGTAATAGAAAATATAACAACAACATGGATGGGATGTGCTTGCATATAAATTTCATAAAGCACGCCAGACAGGAATGTGAGCCTATACTGGTGTTCTGGCTGTAACACCCCTGTGGCTCATGCAGCTGAGCTCCCTCCCAGTTGTAGCGTGGCTAAGAGGGAGCCCCCTCACACACAGCCCACAACAGCAGCAGGCGGCACCTTCCTCACGCAGCAGTCAACCTGCGAACGCTCCTCATGCACTCTGCGCAGAGTAAATCCGTGTCAGTTGGTTTACGTTATTTAAGTTTCTAAATTAAACCTCTTAAAAGCCACCTAGAAGCCAACAAAAGCCACCAGTTAGTTTTCACGTTAATTACAGCATTCTCTACGTCAGGAGAAATGGTAATTACTAGAAATGGTAATTACTAATTTAATCTAGGCAGCTCTGCTGGAGCAGGAAATCCGTGTAGCCTGCAACACACCTCCAGGGGAAGGCATTCTTCTCTCGTGCTCTGCCTTTGTTTTTGCTCCCCAACCATACCAAATTATCTCCTGTATTTTCAGTTACATCCATCCTCATTATTACTATGGTGGGCAGCACAATCATGACAAAATGCCCTCCCTGTCCTCCAGCCGCAGCCTTCTCCTGAGACTTGAAAATTCCAGTGCACCAAGCCAGACACGTGCCACCTCTTCACAGTCCCACTGCCTGCAGCTGGTGTGCTTTTCAAACATACTTAAGAGCCAAACATCCAACATTAATAGCTGCTACTATGCAAAAATTGTGTTTCAAACCAGTGGGAACATGAATAAGACGCAGCTCCGGAAGGAACTTTTCAATGTTCCATCCCACACAGGACCAAAAAAACCAGAAAGGGGTGGGGAATGGTTGTTCTTTCACTCTTTTTTGTTCTCCAAAGTATGGAAAGCCTGCTGAAAAGTTCTATACAAATTACAAACAGGTCAAATTCTGCTCTCAAAGATAAATATGTGACACTCACTAACATGAACCAGAGCCACATAGAAATAGCTGAAGGTACAGCTGAGATCAGAGTATCCAGGTTTTTATATTAACTGAACTAAGTAATCCTCAAATATATATGAAAGTCACAACAGGCCAGTAAGCATTCAATTAAGACAATCCAATTTAACATTCACGGAAACAAAGAATTCTGATTTAATGGGTTCATTCTATTCTTAAACCTAGATATTATTCCTAGATATGCTTCCCAGATATTATTGTACTAGAGTCTAAGATCAGATACAGTCACCAAATCCTGGAAACACCCAGGATCTAAAATAGCAAACCAAAGCTGGAGTTTCACTAGAGGTACAATCTCTTGAATCTTTTGGCTTTTATGGCTTTTAAAAAAACAAATGCAGGTAAAAACAGCTGAAGGATTTTGATCACAGAATACAGATCTTAAGAGTGGCACAATCAGCCTTTTATATTAAATTTGTAGGTAAACTCAATTATTCAAGTATTCAATTTGCAGATAAATACAGTGACTGGAATGCATCTATTCCATCATCTTAATTTTTCACATTCTTTGAATTAATCTTCATTTACATGCAAGAAAGTCCAGAGTAAAATTCACCTGCTCTGTGTTCAGATGAAGATGTCACTCAGTGTTCATGCAGGGAGCCAAACATGACTCTAAAACACTTTTAATAAAGCTGTTCCTTTGCATTTCAGCTAAGAGTATTTGCAGTGCTCAGAAAGCATCACCACTTCTTTACTCTGGCAACCAAGTTCAGACTTCTGCAGTAGCAAAGACAATAAAAAACTCAGTCAGTCTTTGCTGAAACTGCATAAATCTCTGCTGTATACACTTAACCACATTTACTTGGACTGCAGTAATTCCTCTTTAAAGGGCAACATACAGTGTGAAACATCAGTTGAGCTATGTTGCTCATAAGGTACTTGAGATGTTATGCATGGTGCAAAGGCTTTTGGAAGCATGCTCCCTGCACCGCAGTAAGCTCAACTACTCTCTAAATTCATTTGTGGTGAATTATAGTAAAACTGGAGCACACTGGGGACACACAGCAAAGACACTGGAGGGACTGTACAGGATGCTTGCTCACTGAAGCCAGGCTGCATCCAGAACTGAAGAACGGTCACATTTTCAGCTGAGCTGTCCGAATCCAAATACTACTTGATGAGGTGGCAAGCTCAGGTTAATGGCATTACCATATGGGATTTAATGGGATTTTTGCAAGGAGGACTCAAATTGTAGCTTAAGTGAAATAGTCACACAATATGGGTAATGTAACTCCTCCAAGAATATACTTGCTCTCAGCTTTCAGTATTAGAATTTGTTTTATCTATCTGCTTTCACCAAATGACAAGGGAACTTCAAATTTTTCTAAGACAGACCTGAGAAAGGAAAAAGAAATAAAGGGTGCAATTATTGCAGAATCAGTATGGGAACTAACGCCACTAAAATAATTGTTTAAAATTAAGCCAGTTTTGGACTCAAGAACTCACAGGCAGAGAAAATGGATTAAATATATCACTTTCATTGTACAGCACAATTGTATGACAGCCAATCAAAGTAAACAGCACATGCATTTATTTTCAATTGCTGCCTTTCAGACAGATAAAACTATGAAAAGAATAAAAACTGAATCTTCATTTAAAAAAGACTGTAAAATCCTCAGGAACTACCCATGAAGCAGGCTAGTAAAATTCCACTTCCTGCCATTTGCACTGAGCTATTTGTTGTAACAGCTATGCATGGCAGTAAATACCATGTACCTGCAAGAACAAACCATAACATAAAGATTTTGTAGTCTCTTCTGTAATAAATACAGTGATCTTTATCACGTGAGGACTTGACTGGAAAAGACTTTTGGAAGAGACTTCTTTATACAGAATGAAGTTCCCTTACTGTCTTGCCATGGGTAATATCTTTTTTTTTTTTTTAAATATATATATACACACACACATAAACATGTATGCATGTACACACACACATGCACATTTTATACCGATGATAACTGTCAGGAATAAAAGCAGAAGAATAAAATAAAGAAGAATAAATGGGGCCAAAAGACTTAACCTATGCAGAAGCTCTATGTTCTATGCCATGATGAAGAGCAGCCCTGTCATGACTAATTTCCCAGTTGACAGCTCATAAGAGGATGAAAGCAGTGTTGAAGAGGTAATCTCTTGTGTCCCAGCAATTAGCATGCACAAATATTAACATCGTTGGTTACAGGATGACGATTACTTTGTTCATGACTCCCTGGAGGGCCACCCACAGAAGGGAAGTAAGGCAACTTACAGTGATGGAAGGAGAAAAAAAGGCAAAGTCTGATGACTGGCACTGATACAATGTTAGCCACCTACTCATGACCAGGAGAACTGGATTGTGAGCTAGGATTTTGCTCCAGTTCAATTGCAAGAGTTACTAGATTCTTCTCTTCAGGCTTCAGACACACAGGAGAGCATGTCTGCTATACCGCTGTTCGTAATACTCTTCACTTACCTTCCAAAAACTGTATGCTTCTTGTCCAGATATGCACACGAGCGGAATGTGATGAAGCTGGAAGGAATAGACGTAACAGCGTATTATCTCACTGACACTCAACAACAGCCAGCAATGCTTAAAACCAGAGAGTGTATTCAACAGCTCTCCGAGAGAAGACAAGCCCCTCTCCCTCTCCGGCTCCTTTCGGGGAGGCCTGTTGGCCAAACGTCGTCTAACTCCTGTTTTGTGGGTTTTGTCTTGGATTTCTGGAGTTTTGACTTCTCGTTTTTATACCTTACCAACATCCCTAAACAGTACTCCAAGCGTAGTTACTTGCACAAAGTCCAAAATTAATGTGAGGATCTGCCTCCTTGGCCACGCAGGCCCTGGAAGCTCATGCACGAGCAGGAGACGTGCATCCTGCTTGAGAATGACATTTCTTGTGCATGACTGGGAGCTTGTATCCAGCAAATACAGCTCTATAACACAACAGTCCTCTGCCAGTGTGACGTCTATCTTTTAAGATATTTACTTTTTGCATTTTTCTTCCATTAAATTGGCCTGTCAGTGATTCATTTCTCTTCTGGACAGAGCAAATTTGTGCTTTGGCTACAAACAATGGCAGAAGAAGACTTAAAAGTGTCAAAAGTAATGAAAACCTGTGAAACTTGGACTTTTAATTTTTAATCAATTGGACTTCCAACTTTCGGGGTTGTATTTTTAAACTTAAACATGGTAACTGAAATACCAAATCCAAAGCAACCTTTACTACTAAAACTTTTCTCTAAAGCTTAATGCTTCTTTGGAAGACTTGGACTACAAGCATATGAGACAGAGGTTTCCACACTGTGGTCTGCAGACCATGATGGCCCATCTTGGCTGGACATGCAGTGCTGGCTCTCCTCCCTGTCTGCATCTGTTACACTACATTAGAGCGAGCTAAAAATATATAAGCATTCCAAAAGCACTTTTCCATATAAGCAACTGCCTCAGGAAGTTATATGATTGCAAATAGGAGGGGCTGCAATCTGCCAGACAATCTATTAAGACGCAGCTCGCCCTAGGAAAGCTTTGAGATGCTGTGCAAAATGCAAACTCCTAAACAGGGCAAACATTACAACTTCGCCTTGTGCATGGGTTCTTTGCACCAGTTTATTCCCACATAACCAATACTTAAGATTATCAAGTGGTCAGTTATGTATCATTGTAATAAAAAAAAAAAAATCTGAACAGTAGCAAATACACAGAGAAAGCTTCTCATCCATCACTGCAGTCAAAATAAAATTAAGGACAATGGAATTAACATAAGTCAGGATGATCCCAGAGGAGAAGTCGTGAGCATTATTTGAGCCTCACCTTACACAGGGGACCCAGCTCACTCTGCACTGCAGTGTCTGTCACCTATGGAGAGAGTTATTCACCCAGTTCCTAAGGTCACAACAGTTGCTGTAAGTGTCTAAACACTGCCTAGCAAGCTTTATAAATATAGGCAGCTGGAGTCTCTCAAGGACTTCACATATAAAGGAATTTCATATTTAATTTGCAAATTTTAGAGAAACATATGATCACATTTACAGCAGCAGGTTATGTGATTCAATATGGCACATCATTCATGAACTGTCTCTAACTTCTGTTTCTAGAAATTTTTTTTTTTTTTAAAAAAAGCCTCTACTCTCCCCTAATTTAGCACCTGAGTGCTGGCAATAACACTCAAATCCAAAATAAGCTCTACAGCAACTCAATCCTGTAAACTGCCTAACATGTGCTTAGTCTTAAGTACATAAGCCTATTAAAGGCCCTGAGACAAGCGCTTGCGTTTAATTAAAGCTAACCACACTACTGCATAGTTTGCAAGCCATAACACTACTTAGCGTCGTGAAGACCAACACCAAGAACCCCGTCCCTCCACAGTCCCAACACACAGTACTGTACACGCATACACACTCCCTCTCACTCTCTTTCCTGGGGCTCCCAATAAAAGTACAACTTTTTGCTATTGCAGTACTTAGAGAGCAACTAATAAACAGTTGGCTCAAAGTGACACAGAACATTTTCAAAAGACTGCAGGCAAACACCCATATTGATGTTACACATAAAGAAGGTTATTACAACTTCAATATCTTTAAATTTCATTTGCTGTTCTTCCTGCTTCTTCATTCGTTTTTTTTCCTTATTTTAGTCCTCATTCTGCTTTTGTACATTGAAAAACAAGTCATTCTCAACCCCAGATTTTGTGCTCTGCCATGTCTGGGTTCTACACATTTCAACAGTGCAGAACTGTTATAACTTATTTAAAATCAGGCAAGTAAAAAGAAGGCACATTTCCATAGAGGATATGTTTCATTTCATTAAGCCCTTTCAAAAAGTTCCATACAGGGCTAAATTTAAACAGAGTGGAAAGGTGTAATGATCTCACAGGGATTACAGTGAGGGGACACTGACAACAATGAACAAAACCTTCAAATCATGAAAACAGCAAAGACAAATTAATTGACATAATAAACCTCCAGGTCTTCTTGCCATGCTTCACTTTGTTCTTCGATTGGGTAACAAGCAGCGGTAGCTACCCTGATTTCAATATGCAGCGCTCAACAGAATATTTCACTTGACTGAACTTCAAAGAGTAGCTCATAAAATGTCATTTGTTTTCGTAACAGAGTAAGACACAATGTCTAGAGGGAAACAATAAAACACAAAAAGCAAGTGAGTACTTACAACTGCGATTTGTTTGTGTTGGGTCCCGAATTGGCCATACTAAGAACACCACGTCCCGTGTGGGACAAATTGGGCTTAAATTCATCTTTGAAAGGTTTTCCCCAGTAAGATTCTCCTCCTTAAAAGAGAAAAGATGACAGAAGAAATGTTTGTTTTCATTAGTTTCCCACTACATTTTTTAACAGGCACTGACATTAAATTCAAGGTTTCTGGCACTTCTAATCACTACGTGTATAATAAATTCTTCCCTCACCCATATCACTAGGCTAGTATTTGAGCATGCCCTTCAAATTAGATGCTTGTAACTGGCAACACAATTCTGTGCCCTCACACTATCAACTGCAACAGACCAGACTGTTTATCAACAGCATTATTTATTGTGTGCTGAAGAACTGTCAAGGATTTAATTTTTTTACTGCTGGTCCACCATAACTTTTCTTTCTTGGGACATTAAATCTTTAAAAGTGGCTTCCTGGCAAAACATAGAGCAAGGAATTACTAGTTTAATTGCCCTCTGGATATAGCATTGCTTCTGAAAATAAAACATCAGGGAGATTAAATACGTTCATAGAACCACCTCAGAATAGGAGCTGTAAGCTCAAATGCTTAATTCCTGGCTAAACAATGAAGAACAACGACGTATATTCCTCCAAAGTAAAAGGCAAAAATTAGATATTTGGACTAGATACCTGGATGATACAAACACTTAACTGCAATGAAGTCAAAAGGACGATAAAATTGCACAAGCCGCAGACCCAGGCCTCCCAAACTGATTTCTTTTCTGTGTCTGTGGCTAGAAAGAGGGTCTGGGAGACCACTCCTCCTGGCTGTCATTTTTACATTATTTACAACAGACCTGACATTTTCATTTGCACTTTCCTCCAGGATCATTCTTAATAAGAAAAACGAAGGCTGAGATGAGTCATAGTTTTACAGTCAAATCCATAATCTTGTTTGACAAACCATGAAAAAATATTACACTTTAGGATAGTATTAAAAATAAACCAAACAAAACTATGCAAACAGGCAGCAAGACTGGACCATCTGCAAAATTGGCTCAAGAATCCTCTAGAGTAACTGCATCACTTGCGAAGCAGGAGGTCAGTAAAGGATCTGCAGTGCTCAACGGCTATTTGCACATGTAATACAGAAAAGTAATTTGATGATACGACTGCACAGGCAAGCAGCAAACAAAACTGAGGAATAAAACAGGCTCCTACGGAAAACCTTATGCAGAAAATCACAAGAGTGCATCAAATGAGAAAAGAGTTTCAGGTGATACCATGAAAACAAAGCATCACATGTGGACAGCTGCACGTGCAAGTGGAACTGAGTAAGCAAGAAATTTTGGAAGAAACCGACCCACTTCAACCCAATCATGTTCAAAAGAGCTATTAATAGAGTTGAGTGTTGCGTGCTCTGCAATTTGACAAGAGGCAGCAAAAGGGGACAAACCCTGTAGGGATTTTCTATAATCAGGAGTAGAGGAGGAGTGATTACTTCAGCAATCTTTGTCTATTGAATATTTTAAGATCAGCTAAATTACATTGGTGTGATCCCATACGCCAATCCCTTCCAGTAGTGGGTGAAAAGGATTAGTACAGCTGCGGCCAGCTCTACCGTGTTGAAGATTAATCCAAGACCCAGCTATTCTAGCCAAATCCAAAGCGTTCAACCTATTAGAAAATGTCTTACCAGAAGCCAGTAATTTTCTTTGTTAATGAAACTCCTTGTGTATTCCTGTTTGCTAAGAGAGGTTACTCATGCAGCGCCTGCTACCCACCTCGTTCAAAAAAACCCAAGTTCTTGTAGGTTAGTAAATAACCAAGTTACGCTCGGAATATAGCGAGGCTCCACACCAACAGCTGCTGCCTGAAAACAAACACACCCGCAAAGCCTGCAGACCCCCTGCCCATCAACAGCACTATGCTCTGCACGCTATTTCTCAACAGTTTTCACCTTTCCCCTTCTACCTGGCCTGGCAGGAAAGATCAGGGACGGGCTCGCTGCCTGCAGCACCACACCGCTGCGGTGCCACTGCCTCAGGCCCCGCGCTTCTGCTCTCGGCCACGGCTGGAGCTCTTTGCACCCGAGTAACAGGCTGCACTTGGACTTCCCTTAGAGAAACACATAATTTTGCTTCAGCGGATCTCTTGAAGCAGCCTTGTAAAGCAGATGCACTTGCTATGAGTCCTAACCTAGAGGTGTTTTTGCTGTCTGAAATTTTCAGATTATATGCAAACGTGAATGCAGCCCACTGAGATGGTACACAGCAGCAACTGGCCAGGCCCTTGAGTTACACCCTTCATATGGTTGCAGCTGATGCTGGAATTACAGCGTTGTCAAGCTGCTGAAAGAGAGTGCAATCAACCCTGGAGCCTTCACTGGTCAGAAAAATAATTCAAAAGGAAAGAGAAAAATTGTGAATAACAGAGAAACTTTCTGGCACAAGAAGCAACCAGACCAAGAGCTTGCAGACAGGAGCAATGAGCCACGATCTTTAGGTTCTGGAATATTTATTTTTGTGTGATTTCATTTCAGATCATGCACCACAGGTCAGAATTAATCTCATACGTATGGAGGCTAACTTTGGTTCATTCCAGATCTCTGGAAATAAGTGCTAATATTCTAGTAGATAGTTACAGCACGAGATCCAGGCACTGCTTCCCTCTCTGTCCGCCATACAGCTGTTTCCAAGGCTAATTCTGTCTGCCCAGGAGCTGCGCAAGAGCAGAGAATGGCCTGTGCAGCATTCGCCTAAAAGGCCAGACGTCCTATAAAGGACATAGCTGAAGTGTCTGCGGGGGCCTGGCAGACACTGCAAAGGCAGGCAGACAGCAGTACAGGAACAGTTTGGGGGGTTTGTTGTTTTTTAAAGAAAAAAACCACAAATTTTTAATTTAAAGCGAATACTTTAAAAAAAAAAAAAAAAAAAAAAAAAGGAAAAACCCAGAAGTATTCTCCTTAAATTAAAAATAGCCTGAATGTGCTGTTTGTCAAACTCCTGCTAACCTCTGGAATTGTTCCAGGCTTCAAGTACCTGCTTGAAGCAGAACCAGACAGAGCAAGCCAGAAGATGGCAAGTTAAATGTATGTATTTTTTTAATTACTGAAACCCAGAGCGACTTGCTCTCTGAAGATTAAGTACAGATCCCTCATTAGTCTACTGCCATGGCAGCACAGTGCCTAATGCTCAGCCAGGGGGGTCTCGAACAGGGATTTTAGGTTCTTACATTTTACTCTCTACGGTAGAGCTTAATATAAACTTGGGAAAAGAAGTCACAGGCTCCAAACCTACTACTGATAATTACGAGGCATTTGCAAGTATCTAGCAGATTTTACTGTGTCTGTTCTTGACACAGCTGGGAGGTGTGGCTGTGCCATCTTCCTCATTTTCTGAAAGCAGGACGGATGCAGACCGAGGAGGTGGGACCATGGCACAGCCTAGCTCTAGCGCTCTCGCGTTACACTCGCAGTGCATGCCATAAAGAAAGGACGCGCCTCCTTATATTCTCCAAACCCTCCTCTGAGAGCACACAGATTGCTGCTGACTACATACGGAGTCACGATGATGCAAAAGCCTCACCCCGACGCTGATGTACTACTACAAGCAAAGTGTAGAGAAAGCAAGAAACGACTCTGGGTGTCATGCACAGCGGGCAGCACTGCCCGTCGCTTCGCCGTCCTCTCAGCTTACTGCCCGATCAGATTATCTTCTGTCAAAGTGGAGCTGCGTGCCTACTGGACTTGCAAATGCTTCTGAGATCCTATTACAAAAACTGCTGGGGAAAAAAAAATCTGGGGGCTTCTGTGCTAAAAATCAGAGGAGTTCACATGGCAGCAGACATGGCCCCAGGCACGTACTGCCACTGGCTGGATTGGTGCTGGGAGCGCAAAATGGGAGCGGTACTTGCAACCCTGCACACGGGGATCTCCTGTTTGCACAAAGCTGGAAACGTACTCGGCATCGGCCACGGAAATATGCTGGCCTAACAGCATTTAACCTGTACAACATGGAAGCCCTCAGGAGCCAGAAAGATTTTTTGCACAGTTCTGTAAAATAAAAATCACATGCCTACCCAGATACCAAAGATTCAAAGCTGAAGGCAGCTGGGAGCCACTTCCCCACATTTTTAATAAAAGAGAAAAATTCTCTTAATTTAAAGAGGTGTTTACCTAATTCTCACACAGAGATGAAACCAAACAGACCACACAGCTCATAAAAAAAATCAGACTGTATTCATCATTTCCATGGCTATCCAGAGTGGCAAGATATATTTAGCTTGTAACTGAAGCACAGTTAGTTACTCAGTCTTGTGTCTGTGTCTTGTGCTGATTGATAGTGAAAAGGTGAACAGATCTAGACTGACATCTGAAGCAATCACACATTAGTAACTCTAAAAAAAAAAAAAAGCCACGTTTTCAGATTGCCTTCTGAACTAAACCAGTTTATTCTCTGGTAGTCTAAACTTTTTGGTAGAAAAAGGCATTTTTTCAGAAAGTAATTTTTTGGGGTAAAATTGCGTAAGTTGTACAACTTTCTTGCAAAGAGCTGAGAGATGCACCTAAAGCTTCAGAAATACAGCATTCCAAAAGCCAGGTGTGGGCTGGGAATCATCATTCATGACAGTTGTGATTTTAAATAAATCCTTCCTTTTTCTGGCATAAAAATTGCTAAGCAGTGGTAAGGAAGTGGGAGGGCTCTGATTCACAAAAATGATGGCTTACTTTCTGTAATTTTCTTCTTGTCATTTGGAACAACGAGGTACATAATAACATCTGACACTTCTATAGAGCCTTCCAAGTGAGATTCTTGAATCGTTTCTGCAAATATGAAGCCTTAGCTCAGCCAGTAAGTTCTTCTCTCCCTTCAGATAAAAGGAGACGGTACTTTTAACCCCACATACCAGAGGCTGGATTTGCAGAGGGGCTGCAATGTAAAAGGAATATTTTGGTAGATAAAAACGTCTTGCTCTTGTCCTTTTTGCTGAGCTTCAATCATGCAAGAAAAGGGGCTCTACAACCCGTTACATTTTAGGAACTTGCCTTGTTAGGAAATCACATTGCAGAACTGACCAAGTTTGCCCACAGTCCCTTTGCTATTGACAGTTCCGGGGCGGGGAGAAGTCCTTCCTTGTGCTCGTTGCCAACCAAAATGCAGTTCCCATCTACCAGTGGTATTTTATCTTGGACTTTTACAGCTATTATATGCCTCCTTTGTGCCCTCCTGGATTCATAAATAGACAGAGGCACACACAAGCCGATTCATGAGGCCTTCCAACAGGTTGCAAGTAAGAGTAGCTGAAAAATGCCTGTGCCGTTTTGAAAATGTGATGCTTTGCATATAGTTCTCCCTTTTTCATACAAAGGGTTTACGATATTAAACCTATTTTTCCTACATGCAAATGTTCTTCTACTATTTGGAACACTGAGAATACAGAGCAGCTGCTCCACTTGCAGTAGCTTGAGTTAGAATTACTCACAATGTTCAACCACTTAGTTGTTATGAACAGCAGGAAAAGAAATACATCACAAATCTAAAATTCATTTTCAAATAATTAATCATTACAAAGAATGACCATGACTCAGCTTATTGCTCTGAATACTGCCTCTATGGGTGGTTATTTTGTTAGAAAATAAATAAGCTGCTGCAGCACAATAAAATTTCTCCCAGTAGTCTTATGAAACATTAAGTTGAAGGCTGTAGAAAATTAGTTTGGTCCTCTAAATCGGTGTCAACCTTACACAACTGTATATCTAACTGCTTTGGCAATGCAGGTCTGCCAGCTAAGGTAAAACTTTATTCCCCAGTGTAGTATCTCAACTTCTAGATGCCATAATGCTAATTTCCACCCTCCTCCATCCCAGGGTTAACTGCTGAGTTCTAGGAATTAGTTGTCCTTCACGTGTCTGCTGGGTCACAGTTACTTTTATGACAGCCTAACAAGAGACTCAAAAAGGACGCACCGGGGTGCTGAATAACAAATGAAAAAGAAATAAGGATCAGCGCTGCTTACAGATAGGACTGTCCGACCGGAGTGGCTGTGGAAGTGGACAGTGACAGCCAGCTTCGCATTTTACATCTGTGAAATGTGGCCAAGCCAGAAGCACACTTACCTAGGCGAGCCAAGAGCACAGATGCAGTCCATGCGTGTATGCCATGTAACCTTATGCCACGTTGTACTGAATGTGCCCAAATCCACCCAGAAGCCAAACAGACCTGGGCTTAGTTAGCAATGGAGTGGGTGATGATCTAAGCATTTGGGTGTTGCAACCATAAACCTGACACCTGTTACTGAACATGGGATAAATGTCAGATGACAGAAACCAAATGGTGGGAAGATTTTTGAACAAGTTTGTTCTAGTTCCTGAGCTGATGAACAGGAATAATTAAATAAATATAACAAAAGAAAAATATATATGCATATGTACAAATATGCTTAATGCACCTTCCACATATCAGTTTGGAAAATATGTGGGGTTTTTTCTTTAAATAAACAAACAAAAAACCATCCCAAACCTCTTAGCCACAAAATTTCAGTTAAAGCAGAAGGTTCAATGTGGAGACGAAACAAAGGATGTTCTTATTTTCTGAAGTCTTCCTACAAAAGGCTCTAACAGAAACAATTCTGGCAGTTTAAAATACTGACGTTTAAAAGGTAACCTCCAAATAGTCTTACCCTATTGCCAACTGAAATATCTGGGAAGAAAGTCCTGTTCTACTCTCATATGCTTCTCTGATATTACAGAAGTCAAGTTATTTACTCCCTCAGTAAACTTCTGAAGACCATTAAATTTTACGGACTTTTTAGCTTTCAAAGAGGCATCTCCCCTCCCCCCAACACCCCCCCTCCGAGAAGCAGCGAGTCAAATACTGACATCCCTTCCAGCTGCCAGAAGAAATAAAAAGGGAATTTATACTGCAAATAACATACAGGACTCAGGTAAAAAAGGTACAAAGTCCGGAATCCCAGTGCTTTACTCCAAAGCTTTCCTAATACAAATGCTTGTGATCACATTAATAATGCACAAACCAATGGACCAAAACTTTAACCACAGGAGCCTGGGAAAGCATCCCTACGCTTTGCCACGTTCTTACACTGCTGCTGAGCTGTACCCTCCTCTGGGCGTGCTGCTGTGGAGAGAACATAAAGCCAGAGAGGCACCTGAGGTCTGGCCACCTTCTTACAGCATGTGGCTCGAGATAGGCAAGTGAAATTTCTGCCTCACATTCAAGTACCTAGGATCTACCAGGCAGTCAGGAACAAATCCTGACAGACTACTTGCACTCTGCGAACTGTCTAAGTGGCTTCATTTAAGTAAGTATTAAACACACAGGCATGACAGTTGAAGAGAAATCTAGTAGCCCACCAGGCTGTCCATTTACAATATTTTCTGGTGATATTATCATATTCAGTAAGTGATTAAGGATATCTAAAATTCAGCTGTCTTAAAAAAATAAAAACCATTCAGTTGCAAAGAACATAGTTGCATCGTCTGGACTCTACAGTAATTGCAAACAATCTCTAAAAATCTGCAACACATATCTATTTTAGTTGTACACTGTCCATGTTATTAGAACTTTAATAGTCTTGACGGATGTTTGCAAGACATCTCGCTTGCAATATATTCATACTTAATTAATAATGATGAGGAAAACAAGATGGAAAAGACTAGAGGTCATTAGACTCCTTTTTTAAAATAAAAGATTATACATAGGAGTTTTCTTCTCCTATGATCATATTTGCATTTTACTTCCTACTTGCTTTGCCAGTAGAGCTGTCTTGACCTTCAATGCAGCTGCACTGCCAGTCCTCTGCCAACTGTGAATTGTGCTGTCTTACAATACTTCTACCATTTGCACAAATAGAGACAAGAATGACACCAGCAAGTTAATTTTCATTCCACAGCAGGATCTGAACTACACCCTACAAGGGTGAGAGGTGTCTGAGTCAACCCATTAAATTTCTCCCGTCTCCTGACACCTCTTTAATTTCTCATTTTAAGAGATGTTCCTAATTATGTCTTTTGGGATTTGAACTGAAACTTTCCTTATAACAAAATCAAATCACATTTCTTTTGACAGTCCAAGCATATATGGTAACAAATCTTGTTAATGGGCTTTTGCCATCAAAACACAGAACCTTTAACTAGTCTCAAATCTTGAGTATGGAACTGTTGACTATCACATGCAGTAGAAGAAAAACTGTTGGGCAACTCACACTAACATTATTTACAAAGTAAATAGAGCTGAAGTATTTAACAACTACAAAACCAGCCTGGATGGCCTGTGAGCACACACAGCAGAATATAGTGCTTGCATATACGTGACACATGTCCGAACTAGATAAAAATGCAGAGAACCCCACAGGACCAGGTGAGGAGGAGCTGTGGAGGCTGGTGACATCTACAAGTGGGTAGATAAAAGGTGCAAGTGGAAAATGAGCAAATTTACAGCAGCAACTAGAGATACTACATGACATATCTACTGTGGTGGGCAATGCTCTGAGGACCCTTCAGCTCCTATGTCTCCTGACCATTTCTGATAGGACTATTACACAGATCTCCAACTAAGGGAGAAATAACAGGCAGAAGAATTTAGTAACAGTGATCCCTAAAAGTTAGAAAAAGAGCAGCTTGGGCTTCACAAGGCAACTAGCTGGGAGAACAGATGGCAACTAGGCATTCACCAATTCCAAGGCAGGTCTCAAGTTTTCCATTAATACTGAATTTGAAAGAAACTTTGCATGAATGTGTTTCTTCCTTTGATCTTTGCCCTGCAAGACCAGCTGTAAAACCATTATACTGGAAGAAAAAGGAAGCAAAGACCCAACAAGAATTCTACATGGAAGAGTGCCCAAGTTTTAGACTGAGAATATATCAGATGAAACTTTGAGCACAGTTAAAATGGTCATAAAAATATAGTGATAAAACCTCTTCTTTAAAGTAGAAATACTCACAGTGTACCACGTACCATCATTTAGAGAATTTTAATCTACAAGGTGCCTGGAACCTTACCTGTTCCTGTTCCAGTTGGATCACCTCCTTGGATCTGCAGAATTTAAATAAAATCAACAGGTTACATACATATATGTGTGAAAGACATTAAATACAAGCCATAAAAGCCAATTCTGCTCAATTTTCTTCCTTCTATATTGTGTCACGTTGACAAGTTAGCAACAAGTAAACCATTACTACTTATTTGGAGCTTCTTTTATCAGCTGGCTGTCACCTCCTACATTTCTTATCCAAGAGCAGAATGACAGTTTTATAAAAATAATAGGCCTGTTGTGGGTAAACAGGGAAAATAAACAGTCTCAAATGGGTTAACCAGACCATCCTTTTATGTGCTGCGTCATGACCTGCTTTTTAGCTGATGATGAATTGCTTTTGGAAATGAAAAAGCTTTATATTTTGTTACCAATCCTCCACATGATGGGAAGGAAAGAAATTAAGGAATATGGAATATTTTCTGTATCTGAATCTGTATTTCCCAGTATCGCTGTCACTATCTGCAGTAGGAAAAATCCTCATGTGAAACCAATGTTTCAGCAACATAATTAATCACTGTATATATATGCAGGATCTACAGAAATAATATTCTATATTCTAATGCCAGTAGAGGGAGCATGCCATGACTAGCTTCACAGTAATAGCACAGAAGCACAATTTTAATTGTGAGTTTAACGATGAACTGAGATATACAGTGCTGTCAAAAGAAAAAAAGCTTATTTTAGGGTGAGAGGATGGAACGTAACATTCAGTGATGTCGCCTGAAAGATGTGCACTGCCTTCAGGATCAGGTTGTTAATTCTTCCGAAAGGAAGTTACAAGACAGCTACACTATCCCAAGCTGCCTGGACTGTACCTATGTAAATAAAGATCTTTGACTACAAAAGTCAACTTTCTGGTTCACTAGGTACTCTTTAACTCCTTCACAAAGAAAGTCCTGGAGCACACTCAGGAAAGGATGATCTGACAGCATCCAACTACCACAACCTGAAACAGAAATTCAGCTGCTTTCTAAAGTTTGATCTGAATGGGATTTCAACAGGCCACAGTACTACTTACCCAAATTAGCATTCCTCTCTCTCTTTCTCTCCCCCCCTCTCTCCTTCTGTTCATTAACCACCCACCCACGGCTTAGGAAAGATAACAAGAGCCTTGCCAAGGCAGTGACTCTCAAAGGCTCTGTCTGGAACGCCAGCAAAAGCCCTACTGAATGCAGTGATGCTCCAAGTGCCAATATTAGTCAGAGACAGTTGTTAGTAAGACTAGTAAGTGCACGTTTAGTAAGTTAGGACAATTCTAGTTCTCATGGTATATTTAATATACATCTATTGCAAGCTGTCATGCATGGAAGAAAATAAAACTGAATTAAGCTAAATAAGTATTTTGAGGACATCACATATTGTGCATTACACAGGATTTGTCCAATACTCACCACAAAATTACGAATTGATCTGTGAAAAATTGTTCCATCATAGTAGTTCTTCTTGCACAATTTGATAAAATTTTCACATGTTCGGGGTGTCTGAAAGACAAACGGAAATTTTAATTAAGTAATACTTTCAGACAATCAACTTGGTCGCTACACTGTTTACAAGAATCACTTTTCATTCGTGCCTTGTGAAGAAACACAGGACTCTTGAGGAGGAATGAGTCTTTGTCTACAGAAAAAAAAGATATAATATATGCTTTCTTAAAGTATACTGTAGAGACAGACACTGTCTTAAATAAATTAAACCCAGACCTTCCAATTAGCACAAAGAAGTTTTGAACACTAGCTCAGATAATGTGAGCTCCTAATAAACATAATGATGGTGAAAGGAGGTGAGCTCAGAGACTTTCAAGTAACTTAGTTCCAGCAGTGTATCATAATCCTGTTCCAAAGGAGGCTGCCTAGCACTGAAGAAAGTTAATTTCCCAGAGTAAGAAAGAACCTGACTTCTCTGCTCCCCTATTTCAAAGTGAGCACGTTGAAGCTAACTGGAGGAGAAGCACTTGGTCCTCTTCATCACTTGGAACTAAAAATGGGACTGAACCCACAAGTCACCAGACCATAGGACAAGTAAAAAAAGACATCCTGTTTTCAAAAAATTTAAAAAAAAAAAAAAAAAAAAAAAGATGCTAAATATATCGCCAACTTCTAATTTGCTTTTACAGAGCAAATGAAAGCTATTTATTTGAATTTATGAGCCATGGCATTCAAACAGTACCTTCTGAAAAACTTTACTGTCTACCTAATTATCCTTCCACTGCAATTGTACAGATTTTCTTCTCTGCAACACTAAAATACCTTCACACGTACCAACACAAGCACAGAAACAGCCTGTTTTCTATACTTGGACACGTTTTCCAGCCCCACTGTGAATTATGTGCATAAATACATTCCAGTGTTACAAAAGAATACATCTAACTAATCCGAGTTGTTACAGGCGTTGAAAATACCCTTAATATGGTGTATGCTTGCAAGTAAAGCCCCAGCACGAGCCGCAGTGTCTGTCAATGAACACACACAACACTCGAAGCCTCTTTCTGAACAGCACCGATTCCCTTCGCATCGCTATGACATCATTCTTGGTCACAGCTGCAGAGAGACAGAGTAAGACTGAGCCACGCAACCTGAAGTGACTTAAAAGCAAAAAAATAAGGCAAACCCAATTACAATCATTTAAGGATGAAATAATCGCTATCTTTTAAAAAGCAGATCCATATAAGGATTCATCTGGAACCACACAGAATTTCAATTTCCTGTATTTTCTCATCTGAAACACAGTAATTCTCAGCCCTCTTTCTTGACACTGAAATGTCTCTTAATTATCCAAACAAAATCTACCTGCCATCATAAATTCTTTATAATGATTCCTTCTTAATTACTCTATACAGATATAGATGGCAGTTGTCAGCTGAGCCGTAACTGGAAAAATAAACAAATTCTAATGCAATCTTACACCAGCTATTATCTCAGATTTCCTATATAATTCATTACTGGGTTAGAATGGTAATGGTACCATAATGAGTTTACAGTAGAATGCCACTGGGACATGTATTTTGGTAGCATCCTGAGGGCAACTTGTAAGTAAATATATTCCATAAAAATTGTTTCAAGCAATAGGAGGTTTTCCTACAGTTTCAATGTTTATAGCAAATTTGAAAATTTTTCTTTTAATTGGACATATATGCTTGAAAATAATCTTTGCACATGACTTTTCAAGTAAAATTCAACCCCTGAAGAATCATTTGTGCAGCATATGCTTCCTTCATAGGACAGTATCATAACAGCCTTGATCCTAACGTAGTGCTATTAGTTATCCGTCATGAAAAATGTCAGTAAGGATAAAAATATGTTTAAAAAAATTCTTTATGGATCAGAAATGGAATCAGCAGCTTTTAGCCTATGGCACTTTATCTCAGCAGACCCAAGCACTCTTTGGAGAGAGAAACATAGTTAATAAGTTCTCTGGGGGGAATACAGCAACCTGTGATTAATTTTTTAAGAAAAATGAAATCAGGCGAAAGTCTGAGTCCCCTAGGAATACATACCAAACCAGTTTAAATTTGCACAACGTTGATAACCCAATACAGATTTCCTATTTATTTTCAAAACATGATTTGTAAAATATACATCAAAAAACCTGGCTCTAGTAATGTATTTTTTATGTAGGACGTATGCTGACCCTTCTTCTCTAAATGGATTTCTAGTTATTATCTTTTCCCAGAAACAAGCTTTTCAAAGGCAACTGCAGAAATATTTAGTATAGATGCAATAATCATTTCACTGCAAGGTTTTCTTTAAATAATTGCCACCAAATTGGTTCCCATGGTCACCTCATGCATCATACAGATACGTTTGGCAGGTAAACAGTTCCTTAGCAACATTACCGTTACCTTTTATGGTGCTTTTTAGTAGACACAAATAAAAAGGTTTGCCTTCAATCAGTAATAAACCCCAGTTTCAGTCATGCAGTTGATCTAGAATATCTGGCTCAGATTATCTGATTTATTCAAAGCAGTGAATATTCTTACCAAATCTCACACTGCCAAGAACATTTCAGGGATTTTTTTAAGCAGCATCCTGTCCAAAGCAGGACAAAAAGGCTTGAGGTTTATGGGGAAGGTGTAGACACTAAGTAATGAAGTTACGTTCTGCATTGACCATACAAACATAGCCAGTTTTTGAAGTCTTTGTTCCAACTACAAAGACTGATGAGAAATACATATAAACAAATCTGACTCTGTTATTTGAGTGTAAGATCTTGTGGAAGATGTCAGACTGGCAGTCTTGGAATGCAAAACTGTCTACTTCTTCAGAAGCTTGCTCCACACCACTTGCCTCACAGTCTCTGAAGGAGAGGGGGATGGTCAAGGCACCGGGAAATCATAGAATCATAGAATCGTCTAGGTTGGAAAAGACCTTTAAGATCATCCAGTCCAACCATTAACCTACACTACCAAGCCCACCTAAACCAATCAAGGGTAGACTAGACTAAACCATATCCCGAAGTGCCACATCTACCCGTTTTTTGAACACAATGCGGAAGTGCAGAAGGCAACGACGGTTTTTTATTGCCTTATTACTGACAATGGACTCCAGGCTCTCTTCGTACTTCCGGCTGTTCTTGTCTCAAATTGACCTCAACAGCAGCAGCTAACTTCTCCCTCTTTATTCCTTTCACATTAAGCAGGAAATTATTTACATTATTTCAATCTGCTGACTTAGACATATATGTAAGAAAGTCGAGGGAAAAATGCCACCTTAATTTGTTAACCTGTTGATCTGAAAGCCACCGACAAAAAAAAAGGTTATGTTTTAAATCTACTGCAGTATCTTCTGAGAAGGATGCAGTGATAGTCCTAAGAAGCAAAATTTAAAAGTTGTGGAAGGCTTTTCTCTCCCAAGAGTGTGGTAAGACAGCCCTGAGAAATCCTTTCCTTCAGTCAAGTTGAGACCACGTAAGTGAACGCAGTGTCTCTGTATGATGTCCTTCAACTTAAAGACAGTTCTCTCTCTGAAGGACAAACAGTAAGAAAAAAAATACCTTATTTATACCAAAATGAGTTTCCTGCTCAAAGTATGCTCCCCATTTATTTTGTAGATGCCAGATAACTGTCTTTCAACTGTAGAAAATTCACACCCAAGACAAGCGGTAAAATTTTAATAAACAGTTTGAGACAGGAATCCAGAAGAATACTTATTCCAGAAGATGACTCAGATGCTTTGCTTGGCTCACAGACATGTATATATAATGGAGAAACAGCCCAGTGGTTTTCTAATTATGTTTAAGTCTCCATTTAGCTAACACACTTAGTAACTAATTGTACATGGAAATACCAGCACTCTACTAGTTACTAGGCCTGGACAAATTTCAGAATTGAAAAGAGATTGCTACTACGACCATGCAAACACAACAGTGACAAAAGGCTGATTGTGAAATCACGGATACTGGGAAAACACTAAAGAAAGGAATATAAAATTGAAAAAAAAAAAGGCAAAACAGAAAAAAACCCCTGAGTTCTTGCTATGAAGTTCTAGAAGAAATGCAGACTTTATCTTGTTCCCCTTTTAAGTATTAACCGAGCCAATTTTAGTTTCCTTTTTTCCAGCAAGGGTGGCTCCAGACCAGGCAAAAACAATCGCTCTTGCTGCATCTCGAGACCCGAGGGGTAAGACTAACCAAGCCAGGTCACTGTCTGCTTTCTCAGTTTGCAGCTCTCCTTTCTCATCAGTTAAAATGGGTCATTACATTTGTAAAAGTTACCTTAACTCAGAATTTGTATTGGGCAGCTGAAGAGCCAACCAGAAGTACATTAAAAACCTGCAGCACTCCTGTTGCCAAGGTGCAAGAGATGGGAAAAGAGGAGCTTCTGAGTCGTTGCCATGACTGCGGGGAAGAAGGCTTTACTATGTGAAGAGCTAATCATTTCAAAATGCTCCATCCCTTGAGGATCTGCATGAACCTTGAAGAGGAATGTCACACTAAGCATTCAGAAGCTGTCATTCACACATCTGTATAATTTCCTTGTGCTAATTCTACTTCCCTTTTATTTCTTTTTGTCTCTCTAAATTGGATGAACTGTAGTAGTTGCACTAAACTACAGAGCCTTAATATATGCTCATTAACCCTACGTTTCAAAGCAGAAATAATCTGAAATAATGAAAAGCTTGTTCCTCACAAATTAAAATTGCATTCTACAGCCTTCATCTTATCACACAAATGCCAGAATCCCACTACTAAGAGGCATGAACTAGTGATGTAAATTTCTAAAGCTTCAAACGAAGCCTGCAATTTTTTTAACGTAGATCTTCTTTAAAATCCAAGGTGGATTTTGTTTTGCTTTAGTCCATTTACTTTTTTTTTTTTTTTTTTTACACAGAACATTTTCAGTCTTGTAATTGTTCATTCGAGCAACTCTTTTAATGCATGAGCCCATAAAGAGGCGATTTGGTAAGGTTTAAACTCAATCCTCCCCATCCCTTTCAACCTGCAATGCTCGTAGCCTACCCATCCCACAGGAAAGAACTCGCCCTAG